ATCATTCATAAGGCGAGGGAACAAAATATCTGTCTTCGGAAATTAATGGAAATTGGGGAAGAAAAGTTGATCGGCAGATGGCGAACCTGTTTCATTTAACAAGTGCAGAACCCCTCGCATTAATTGGCCCAACCTCGATGAACACATTTTCTGCCTTCCTCCATCGGTTCATTTGTCCGCAAGTTCTCCTTAACCATTCCGTGCACACCTCGCATTAGGAGAAAGGTAAGCCAGCGAAGCTTGTGGGAAGAGAATATTTATCAAGGCAAGACGGCTCGCCAATCAGCGCGTCTAATACATCTACGCACTCTGTGTATCTAGTTCGGTATTGTGACCATTAAAAAATCATAAATGCCATGCATGCAGTGGCGGGGCTAGGCAATGCGATACTCCTTGGTGTTCAAGCGTGCGAGCGGACTTGAGATCGAATCTCACGTGTTGAGTTCCCTCCTTACCTACGTTTCTGCTTTTTTTTCCACTTCGTCTTTTTTAATGCTGGAGTATCGCATCGTGGAGGCGGCCACTTATACCCTGTGCTCAGTCCGTCTTGACACCTAACGGATCGGTCGTTCATCGGGCAAGTGATCAAGTGACACCTGTGACCTGCGCATATAATGGCGGGACTTGGTTACCGTTCGCTGGTCCGTGATGGTGAGACCTGCACTTAAAGAAGTGTCTGATTGCAGCCATTTTAAAGTCAGCCGTGTAGTTGCTATCTAAGGTCTCAATTTTGAGAACCGTGCTTTGGAAGTTTCATATCTATTGGTCATCTTCCACTGACGTTTTAGGAGTAAACTGATATGTTACCTCAACAGTGAATTGTGCAGTCTTGTTGCTGTGGAAAAGTAGAGGTCTGTCTGCAACATTTTCACTGTGTTTGTTATGTCACTCTTAGTTACACCTATACAGCGCATGTGAAAGATTTTATGACGTCACTTGGTGCTGCTAAGACACAAGAGCGAGAAACCACAGTCGTAAGAGGGGCAACCATAAACTCAGGGCATAGTGGACATAGAACACTGCATTAATTCTTAAAAGTGCAAGATGTTCCCCATTCTATCTCTAGATTCGATACTATCCAGCGCCAAGACCGTCTCTTGAGCTGGCCCTAATGCATCTCAAGTCAGGTTCGAGCTGTCATGGCTTTAGCCTGATGCTAGAAATTACTCCCCTGGGTTACTCACTGAAAATCCGATGGAGGGTGACGGGGTTCACTGGCAGGTAAGAACAGAGGAGTGTCAAAAATTATTCTCGTCGACTCAGCAAGGTATGCAACCTTAAACTCGGTGCAATAGTATGATTCTATGCAGACCAAGACAACAGCATGGCTTTTAGCTAACTCTCTGAAAAATTAAATTTAGGGATTTCACAATAACATTATTGCTCCAAGGATGATAAACCCAGGACTGGAAAGCATCCTCACAATGTATATTATATAAATCTCTTGATCATTTAGACATTACATTCATTTTTAGAAATAATGCCAGAAATGCTTTCACAGACATTTTTATTCAAAAAAAGATATTACCAGTTTTATTCTGCTATACGCTGTCATGGTTTTTATCAATCGCCTTTCCAGAGGAAAATATTATTTCAATGTTGCCATGTATTTTTGATATCGTAACGGAACTTGATATCTGGTGTAATCCATACAATCTACGGCCTACGCTTATATGATGTTCTCAATGGTAAATCCTTTGGAATACTATATCGCCTTTACATACAGAAGCCCACATCCTGCTCTGGCAATAAGCAAACTGAATACAGAGTCCCATACCTTCCGTTCTTGCTGTGTGCACGGACGCCCACGTTCTAACAAAGCCTTTTGGGGTTTCCCGCGGTTTTTTGTGTCACGCGCGGATTCCAGTCGCCCACTTGGCGCGCTTTGTGATCATTCAACAGGCTTCCGTCCCCTATGTTCCACGCACAGTGTGCTGCACACTGTGCGGGGATGTAAACGAATAGCGTGGTGTGCCCCCTCCATCCATTACCGATACTGTCTCCGATTATATAAGACCTTTTATCGGTGGCAGTATCCGGTTTCGAGACTGCGTGACTTGTTGGTTATTCCGGGAGCAGACAGACTGTCAGGTTTACATTGGTGCATCTGTGAGGGCAGCTCGCTGAACGAGGAGAAAGCATTTGCAAAAGATAAAGAATATTATCAAAAGAAAGAAAAAACTCTGCTGAGGAGTTTAGATTTGGCCCCTACGGGCCCCGAGACACACTGGATTGTGTTCTGGGGGGGGACCAATATTTCTCCAGCAAGAGAGAATCTCAATTAATAAACGACAGCACATTTCTGCAGGCAGCAAACATAAACGATTGCGCATTGCCGTATAAGCGCCCAATACGATCAAAGTCCTCCTTGACTTCATAGAGTCGGTTCATTTGTAAAATGAAGCTGAGGGCGCCATTTTGAATTTTTGCAAAATTTTTCTCGCACATGCAACCTATTAGAAGCTTGTTGTGCCAAGTTTTTGCGGGTAAAAACCAATGCTGGCCATTTTGTGCTGTCTGCGATAGTATATCTGCAAAAACCAAGTGTAATGAATCTTTGTCGATGTTTACGATAAGAAATTTAATGCAGGAACAATCAAGGTATGTGCTCATTATCACACATACACATTTATTGCCTCTTCTTGACAAAATATATGAAGCCAAAAGAGATGGCAAAAACCTTGAAAGCATAGCCTGAGTCAGGCATGTCATATCAGTGGTTCTGACGTGTGTCATTCGACTGTTGCTGAGAAAACAAGATGAGGGTACGGCCGCGGTAATTTCTGAATGTACTGAATTGTTTTTTAACTTTTCATTTCGTACATCAGTCATTTGTTCTTGTCATGTCTGAGTGCGTTTCGGCCAGAAGTAGATAGAGCCTGAACATGAGGGATTGAGGCAGAGCCAGCGGTCTATAACCCTTGGCAGCAGCCGGTCTTCCGGCCAACTTCCATTTGCCCGTCTCCAGCTCTAACCATCAACAGCTGCGCCACTGCGCTCCACGTTTTTGGGCGTAAAATGAGAAAAAATACCTTCTATAAATTATGAAGATAACGTAAGAGCATAGGCAGCCAGCCCGTGTGTACATTTTGCGTGTACCGGGACGGAAACACGGTGCCTCAATCTCCGCTATCGTGTTACCTTGTGTACCGTCAGAGCCGTCTGCACTTGGGAAAATGCCCGGTTGTTGAGGGATGAGAAACTGAGGTTTTTCTGGCTCCCACGAAGGGCCCATCATGCAAATTGCTCAGACTAAGAGCCCCACGTCTGTCTCTCTCCTAAACTACCTGTTAAGCCACAAACCTGTAGCTATCCACACGAACTCAGTCTCTTGTCAGTTTGCTGTTTCAATTTAAATTTGTCAAGCGTCCGCAGCTGTGTCGCACTACGCAGTGGCCGTCCCGCGCCGATTAAGGCCGGCAATTTGCTGTGCTCGGCAATCGAGCGAGTGCGATGGAAGAGTAGGGGAGCGGAGGGGAGGTAAAAGAATGAAAATGGGGGCTCCCAAGCGAACGTGGGACCACAAATTAGATTGGACGTATTTATTTAAGAAGCACGCAAGGGAAAGGGATGTGATTCTATCCCCGCTTTTTTTGCTAGCGTGTATAATTCATAATAATTCCTTGGTTGCTGCGCTGAATAGCCCTGATATCAGGTAAGCAGTGATTGTGAGAAAGGGAGTGACTGATGTCAACGTTGCGGCTCACAGCAGTGATAGCCAAGCTAACATTTACTCACTTCTATTCAGATTTATAGTGGGCAAAATCAAACTCACAATTGTTTCAATAAGTATCGATCTGTACTTCAGTGACAAAACATTTTATGTTAAAACAGGTTATTTGTTATGTAAGTCGGTTGAAATGAAAACGTCTGTGAGGAGTCGATCTCTGCTCTGCTCTGAAAAATCCTGCGCCTCTCATACTATGCATGTTTTATCTGTAAGCCTACATATCAAATTGGACTTTAAACCAGGTTATTTTACAGTCAAAGTATCTTATTTGCAGCATACAAGAACGACTTTCGTTTAAATACCTTATTTGAGCCTTGAATCATATAAAACGCCCTTTAGCGTATATAGCACATTTAACATTTGTGGTTCTATCTCAGAAAGAGCTCAGAAAAAGCTCATAGGTGTATAAATGACATTAGTTCTTAAAAATATTTGTCAAACTATATTCTGAAAAAAAATTAAAAATTAACCATTACACAGAACTGCGTCTCACCGGCGAATATGGACCAATATTTCACTCTTTCCGGGGCATAATTCTCCAAGTCAATATATTAATTTGAACCTTACTTAGCCCAAGTGCCATATGTCAGTTTAGACAACAGGTCAATCTGATCTTCAGGTACTCAGGTTCTGACGATATTTCGTCTACAGCTTGCCAGTGTGTGCATGTATTGATTTGGTTGTATCTTCTGCAAAATCTCCCCGTCGATGCGCGCTGCTAGCACCACGAGAGCACGCGTTTGTCATTAAGGGTAATCGGTATACCGCACAAAAACAACCGCCTGCGCGGAGGGCAACATCAAATTGACAAGCTGCAGTTTAGACGAGACTGAAGTACGTACGGGAAGCTCACACATAGATTTGGCAGAAATTGTAGTTGGCGGCTTTTTGGCGCGCACACCAATCAGTCAAATCAACGTGACGTCATGAAAGGGTGCACCGTCCCCGTTTTTAGCTGTCGCTGAAGCCTACATACGCTATTTGAGCAGTCAGTAGGCCTAAACTTAACCAAGACTTTATTCCCCAAATAAATTTTTATGCCGGTACATTAGTTTAATTTTATTAAAATAACACAACAAATCAAATAAAAAAGTTGCTTAAATGACTTTGATGATGAAACTTGACAATAAGTTTTCATAATAACATTTTCGGCTAAAACAACTTTGCACACACATTATATCAAGCATTTGCGTCTGTCACTGGGAAATAACCATAGAATCAGACTCTTAATAAAACCACCACCACACGCATCACATCTATATTTTGTCTGAACTTTATTTTACTCTGTATTATACAAAGTTTCCAACAGAATGGCAAAGGAACGAATAACTAATCAATGTATATAGTAATGAAGTGTAAGGAAAACATGTTTTACTTGATAACAGATCGTGAGTCGAAGTACTGAACAATATCTGTAGCTTTCACACAATGAAAGTAAACACTTTAATCAGAAGTAATACATCAATAAATTTTTGAAAGAGAAATCATTATCATGTAGCGGTAAATCCCATTGGAAAGGGACTAATTTAGCCAGTTCAGATCGTGATAGCTTCTTTTGCAAGTGAGAAACAGCAGCCGAGCTATTTTGGTCACTGTAGTGAAAATCATTTGGTCAACTAAAACAATTATATACATCTAATCCGTGCATAATGTTTATCTTTTGGTCGACGAAGTGGAAACAATGATGCAAACACGAATTTACAGCAGATAAAAACAAGTATATACATGTTTGTTGACTATAAAAACCAAGATCCTTAGAGTATCTGAAATATATATACAGTTATATTATTTCGTTAGATAGTTTGTACACGCTTTATTGCAGGTTTTAGTGGTACATTCAACGAGAAGATATCTGGAATAACATAAAAACTATATTTTTAGTGGAGGTCAAAATTATACAGTTACGAATGTTATAAATAGAAATGACCAGATGAGATTGCACGTTATAAATGGTAGGCCTGTCGTTTCGTTGGTACAGTCATATTGCACATTGAAGAAAATGTTTGAAGCAATTGTACAAATCACTTACATGGGAAACAACGGTAGCATTATTGTTGCTAAGAGTTTCACTTCCAATGGACAGAAACTACCGGTACTATTTTTGTCTTTTAACTTTGACCCTGTGGGCTAGTCAGTGAGTTCACATCAAGCGAACATAAAAACAGGCATGCATAAATACGTTAGTGACTGTGCCGAAAATTAGAGAGACCTAATACTTAGCGACCTCCTACGTACCCGTAGCACCACAGCATGTATGTAGCCTAGGGATGTTTATCATTCGTGCCTAACCATAAAGATTTTCACTGAGAGAAACTGGGGTTCAAATCAAATATTTAGACGTGTGATTGTCTTTTAAAACGCTTGTTTTTGTCAACCAGGACCCCCGTGGAAAAACAAAATAACTTCAGACATTAATGAAATCATTGTGTGCACGCAGGTACACATCATGGAATGGTAATAATCAATCCCAAACTAAATGCAAGCAATAAAACAACATTTTACATTTACTTTGAATTTTCAATGTTATTAAAAGCAATCTCTCAGAGCACACAGCTATTAAAAGGATGGCTCCATGCTCAGAGATACGTGTGGCGTACACAAACTACAAAAACACGTTTTGACAGTGAAACAAACGAAAATGAATTCCAACTCTATGTCTTTAAATACACAAGTCCACCTCCAAGCAGAGTCAACAGTTTTACTGATCATACATCTGACTGGCGAAATGTAAGAGAGAAAACTGGCTATTGGTTAGTACTTCATGGCCATAGCAACCAAAACTATCATTTCTAATCAGCTAATGGTGGCTTAGCGCGTAGAGATTTGGCTGGTTTTTATACGCGCCATAAAATGTTATGCCACCACTGGCTCTAAAACCGCTACGACACTTACTGTCTGAGGTACTTTCAAATCCATTATTGGGCCCATATTAACAAGGCGTGCGGCTCATTCAAGAAAAAATCTGTTTTTGTTCAAATTGCACAATCTGAATTTGTGCCAAGCTAAAGGAAAGTCAAGATAAGACAAAAGAACAATCCTCTAAACTTTCCACATTATGTCATTTTCACGCGTTATACTTGTCTATTCCAGAATTACACGTACAGTTCGTTAAGGAATTGCATACTCAATGGAATTCTATAAATATAGCCAATTAATGATACCAAAGACCACAATTATGAGTATGATTAATTTATCGTTATCCAACTTCTTAAATTTCTTATAAGATCTCAAGAATCAACAACTCACAATAGGATAAACCAATGCAATACCTGAAGCTCTGACGAGCGTTTCGCTTGTTGACACAAGCCATAGTAATCGAGTAGTATTGCGTGCGTTCGCAGTCGTTGAATTATTCATTAACATATCTATATATATCTGGCCCTGCAGTCCATTCATAATTGCGCCTCACAATCATGCACGGGGCGGTTTTTCTGGCAAGATGGTTTTTAGGGGTTGCCGTGTAAAATAAAACTCGTCTCATGCAAAGTATCACTGAGGAGAATGAAGGACTCGAGTTGAATCAAAGAAAACATCAGATTTTCAGTTTGAAAATAGGGGGAAAAACAGATGTGAATTCAATTTGTAGAGGCTGACCTTGTGGGCACTGCGTATAGCCGAACAGCTTGACAGTGAAATTTCTAGTGTAATTAAATGTCATTTGTTTGTAAGTCTCAGGTAGTACTGATAATTCGGACCCAAGCTTCTACAATGAAGGAGAGTATTTTAGTCATGTGACATGCTTTACAATGAGTGCTGGAGATTGGTAAAGTAACATACTACGCCTACACTAATTTGGTTATTTTTCTTGAACTACTTAGTACAGCTTGATGTGCGACTGTTTGTGCAGATTGATACTACCTGTGAAAGAAGTAATGATACCTTAAAATCTCGTTAACAAAGGTGTAAACTAAACAGGCTGCGTTTCTAAGACGAGACGTTTTACAGGTTGGAACTAAAGACGTGTGAATATAATTAAGACTCTGAGAGTAAAACGTATAACCATTTGTTATGCAGCTCCAATTCAAAACACAAAAACATCTCGCTAGTTTGAAATGGACTAAATCGTGACTCTATCAGCTCAACATAAAAAGGAAAGATTTCCCATTTCCGATTCATGTAAAAGTATACGACGATCCGACTCTGTCTTAATCACACACTCCACAGCGCTACAAGTAAAACGAGGACGGGTGGATGGTTTTCACTTTGACGTGATCGTGCTATCGCTTGGAATCCCCCAGTGACAGGCACCGCCTCAACTGCAGTATAAACGAGCATGGGGTTTGCGTATCAGTCCTACCCCTTTAAATATTAGTTAATTACCCTCTAATGTCCCAGCGGGATTGTGGATGTTGGGAGGACTAATAACACCCGGAGATTGCAAAATTCGCATCCTTGATAAGTGATATCGGTTGCTGGTGTTCGAATTTGCTGTGGCGCGTAGCACGAGATGCAAACAAAGTACACGTCTAGTGAGTGCGCGCGCGTCGGCATTTCAATGTGCATATTTGCAATGGTCAAACATGCAGATGTTTCTGTTTGTAATCATGGTCATTATCGCGTTAAAGGTTGCTGATGTTTTAACATTTTGGTTTGAAATAGTCTGCTCCTCAAGTAGCCTAAAGAATCGCTACATCTTGAGCTCTCTGAATTTGACAGCCAAATTAGTCGATAAGTTCGAGCACTGCATAGGTGATGACATGCAGGCTTGCCGTTGCTAATGTGTTAATATTGAGAAATGGAAGCATGATAAAGACCTCATGCAGGCCAAAAGCGAGAGGAATAACTACTACAGCATGTCATACTGCCAAAATTCTTTCCTATAACCCATGATGAATGTGATCTCCTGCGCGAGATGTGAGATCATTTGTTTTCCACAACAGACCTATGGTTAGGCAATGAAAACCGTAACAGGACTTAACAAAGCGCAGACATTAAAATCTTAATGGTGTTAAAGCAATTCAAGGTTACCAAAAAATCACTGCTATCCTGTTATTATTGTCCAGTATTGCATTTCTCAGGACGTAAACAATGAAATACCTTATCAGTGATTTTCCATTTATTTTGAAATCCTCGTGTTTGAGTTGATGACTGATCTACAAGTTTTAGTACCAAATCAATACACAAATCTCTATTATCTGACACACACTGCACTCAGTCAGGCTTCCTTTTGTGTTCAGTCGCTGTTTTTATAATCTGCCTATCTGACCTCTGAGCCACAGGCTTGCCTAATGCATGTTGTCACACCTAGCCCACGCTGATGTAGTTTTTCCCTCTGCCATTGGTTTGTATTTGAAGGTAAGATTTATCAGGCTGGTAAGGAAAACCCACTGGATCAGTTAACATTTAGGTTGTATTCCCGAGTCGGAAACTTAATCATTGCCCAACGGAAAAGTACCATGATCACTCATATATTTGTATGTCTAGAAAAAGTCAACATTAATATTGTAATGATTGTCAGTGTTTTTTATTTTGTAGATAATTAAGTCTTAATATCTTCCTGAGGTTTGGTCAGTGATAGACGTTTAATTACGACCAAATTTCAAAGCCAAACTTACTGGTTGGTCCCTTTTGGAATCTATTCATTATAGACCACACCCAGACTCTTACGATCGAGTTCTGAGAGTTGCCTTGTCAGTGGGTCGTGATGGAACAATTTACCGGGTCAATCAAGCGACCAACTCTGGCTAAGTCCCATTTCCCAAACCGGCGCTTCAGCCAATACGAAAGTCTAATTGTCTTCGATTATTTCTGCTTGGCTTGATCGACTGATGACCATGCAGGAGAAAAGATGAACATCTAATCATTCTACGCAAAAGTAATGAAATTATGATTCAAGTGGATGCTCGACTAAAATACATTGCTTTTAATACAGCGTGATTCAATGTGAATACATCCATGGAAGACTTCTACCAATTGACATTCTCACTAGCACACGCACAGGTTATATTTTAGGAAAATACCCATTCATGAACTAGAAAACTATATGGTGCACGCAGGTGTTTAAAAACGGTATAAATGGGAGAGTTTACGACGAACTTCTTCTGGCAAGATTTTTGTCAAAAGTAGGATTCAGGCTCACTTTGCGTCCCAGGGTATACTGTCAGTGCTCTGAGCTTTAACAGTGAACGCAGTGAGGCCTTTTTTTTCAAAAAAGTGATCTTTATCAGACCAAATTTGGGTAGAAACTCTGAAGATGTAGTGATTTTTCTTCTATGCTGAACTGTCTGGGCTTTTGGGAAAATCTTCGGAGTCTTCCATGGCCTTCAGTAGCCCCACCTCATCTGACTTGAAGCAGGCCGACTCGTAGTGCTTGTTCAGGTAAGACTTGAGAGCAAAAGTCTTATCGCATCTCTTGCATCTATAGTTCTTGAACGCCGAGTGTGTCTGCATGTGGGCCCTGAGGTTTGATCTGTCAGCAAACGCTTTGCCGCAATGCGCGCATCCGAAGGGTTTCTCACCGGTGTGAGACCGCATGTGCCCCTGTAGTAACCAGGGCCGACTGAATGATTTATTGCACATTGTGCACTTATGTTTGAGATTGTGTGTGAGCACATGCATAGCCAAGGCTGGCATACTGACGTACACCTTGTTGCAGATGTCACACTTCTTGGCAAATTGACTCTCCAAACTGCGATGAGTCTGTTTGTGTCGAGACAGATTGCTAGACGTGGCGTACTCCTTACCACACTCGTTGCAACGATACTTGGGGCGGTTAGGGTCGATGGTGCCAAGCGCTGGTGTGCCGCTGCCGTTACGCCGTCTCGACCGGCCATCTGTTATGAGAAACGCGTCGTACGAGAGAAATACCTGATTAGGACTGGTGGGTGGACTCAGGAATCGGCTTTGCTGCTGGTGTTGGTTATGGTGGAGTGGATCACCATGAACTTGCTCCATCATATCCACCGACATAGGCGAGTCGCAAAGGGATGATGATTCGCAAACGGACGCCGATTCGCAGACAGACGAAGTCTCGACATCCAGGACGGTTGTTCGTGTTGGTGTCTCCGGAGGAGAGGCAGTCGGGGAAGGAATGATGTCATGTATGTAACCTGCAGATGAGAAACACAAAGAAAAATAAGAGATATTTCGGCTTAGCATACTCCAGATGGAAATCTTGAGGTTTCTGTAGTAACCCCACACAAAGCCAAAACGTACTCATTCGCCTCCTCTCCAAGCAAGAAGTCAATCGCTATATGGATGTTTCCAGGTTACGTTGTCATTTAACGAGTGATTCTAGCTACAAGTCATGTATAGGAGTTATAAGCCTTCCAAAGACCCCCCCCACACATAAAGATACGGACAGGTTTGAAGACTCCCAACCTACTGGTTAAGCGGTTGGAATTAAATCGATGAGGCACTATAGAAGTCGCCCGTTTGAATCGTCGATGCGTTTCCTTCTTTCTAAAGACCATATATTTCGGAGACTAATATTTAAGCTTGAAGAAGAGAGATAGTTTTCAAGTCTTAACCACAGCTCTGACAGGGAACAACGAAATAATAACCCCGGTTTGCAATTCAGAAGTTCACATATGTTTTGCGTAAATGTAAGCAAATGTATAGGCCTACATTTAATCTTCTCTCTACTTGCTAAAATATCATACACATCTGTACTCCTGAATCTAAACTTGATATTTTCTAGCATTTTAGCCGTTGAAACCTCTTTCAAATTCACCAAAGTCTATTTATCAAAGCATGCATGTGCTTATACCAAGAACGAACATAGCAACAAAGTTCCTTCCGACTGGTTTCAAGTTACCTTAACAATGGTTTACGATAGCTTCATGTATATTTACTAAAAGAACATTTTCCTGCCCGATGGATATCGCTTACGAAGGCATTAAACACTATTTCAAGCTTGTTTTAATGGAAAAAAATGCATATATACCGTTCTTGCTCCCTGAAAACTCCTTTAAAACCTTGTCTACCTGACGGTACTAGACCACCCTCAAAGGGCCTCCTCTCAGGAAAGAATCAGTCGTACAAAACATATTCAGAAAATACCAAATTATATCTATGACACTAATGCATAATTTTTAGTCATTTTTTACTACATTTTAAAACTTTCATGAAAATTTCTCATTGTTTCATATCTTTAATGAGCTACGGACAGTGCAACTACAGAAACCAATGGTAATGGTTTGAGTTGATTTGAGGCTTGTGGTAAAAATGATTTTTTTCTTTGTTTCTTAATGGCACTAAACCATGACAAGATTCAGTGTTTCTGAAATATAAGGAGACTGACGCTATGTTTGTCAGGCGTTGCAATGTCACGTACAGACCCAACCTCAGTTCCAGGTCAATGCTTAATTAAAATGTGACGAATTTCTTCTGACAGTGCGTCATGAAGCGATGTTCCGACACATGTTGCTGGTATATCATTTTTGTCTATGATTACCATTAATACAGTCTTTGCAGAAATCAATCTCCTTCCCGTTGAGACCTAAGCAGAAATTGTGAAATGACGTGCTTTCCATATTTCCATGGAAAATAGTGTTTCACTCTTAAAAATGTCGAACTCTGAAATTCTTGAAAATACCGCAGAGCCCTCTATATTAAATTAGGGCCAAAAGGGTTGAAGTTTTTATTCTTATTGTGCCCCAACTTACAAAATGCTCGAGTTTCAAACCATTGAGAACATTCAAATATTATATAATAGAAAATACTGGGAATATATGAACATTACTCAAAATAACCGACATAAAAACTATTCCTATATCTTTGGACACGAGAATAAATAGGGCCTACTAAAAGGTACAATTAACATTTTGTTGGAGTCCGAGGAGAGTCTTGCCTGATCTATGTACAGTTTAAGGTTTTTCGTTTATTGAGAAATGAATCGTGTAATAAAGTCCCTATTAAATATATATTTGATATGAACGTTTAAGGAAAAGTGAGAAAACGAAAAAAAAAAATTTGTTCAGAAACCGAGCACCCACGAGCTATGTCATCTAAATTAATGCTTAACTGGGTTTCCTTTTTTGAAGACAGAAGCACCTGCTGAATATCATTGTTACAAATTTGACTCTATGCATTTGTTTATTCAATCCACTGCAAAGAAATCATGATCTGGTCAAATAACCTGGGGTGTAATTCAGTCAAGTGTACACAGGTGGTAGACTTCTAACATGTTGAACGTTTCACACCTGCTGTCTGTTTGAAAACGGATGCTCCCCACTCTTACAAACTCCCTGTCTTCGATTAACGTTACAGGTTTTGTACAACAGTGACTTTCCCCTTTTAAACACTCATATTCAGATCCGTGGACACTGTTTTGTTCAATTTAAGAGTTACCACCAAACACAGAAATAGCAAGGCTGGTGAGATCCCGTGCAGCGCTCTCACTAAAATAGGGCGACATCTGCCGCACAAATTGACGTTCGCGGTTGAGTAATCAACAATCTTTTCGCCTTCCATTTGGGTGTGATTCGTCACAGTATCAACCGTGGCTGTTATAACGCCCCGTCACTATTACCGAACAGAGCAAACAATCTAATGGAAGCCACTCCAAAAAAAGTCAAGAATATGCTGAGATCGAATGCAGGCAGAGGAAAAAACGTCGCATACATCGCAAGAAACTTGCAGTGCGAGCCGTGAATAGCGAGGGCAATGCAATCAGATCTTGCTGTCCTATAAAAGAAAACAAGCCCTAACATGTACTTGGTGTTGGGGCGATCTTGCTCGCACGCGCTATGTACTTTGTTCCAGGCCATTGCCAAAATACACTCTCTATCCCATTGGGTCGCGCCGTAACAAGCACGCAGAGAGCGCCTTTCCAAAAAAATAAAGTCTGGCAAATTATTGTCCGAGATTCCTGACGTCCATTTCTGACAAGGTTTTTTGGCGTCCTGCAATGCTATCTACGGTAGATGTGAACAGTGTGCGCGCACAGAGTGATGAAGGTTGCGGTCGAATTTGAGCCTAGCGCATACATTCATCTTGTATATCTTGTATAGGCGCTACGTGCCGTGCATAATTGGGATCGGCTACTTGTTGAATGCAGTTATAGCTAACCTGGGGCAGATTTTTTTCTCATCGTCTTACATTTATAGCTGCTTCATTCGCTCTTCCTCCGTCTAGGCCCGCTGACAAATCTTTAAAGGTCTTCACTTTGTCGCCAGCGTGGAGACGTTATCTCTCCGGGCAACAGGATGCAATTCAATATTAGGAAGAACGGAGGAGGGGAGACGTGAAAACTAAAGAACAGCTTCCTAAAAGGTTCGCGCGTCATGTTGTTTGCTTGCGGGAGGGCAGCGTTAGTTCACCTGCGATAGACAGACGACCTCTCTTAGTGCTAGGGCCGGGGGACGGGAAAGACTGCCGCGATTGCCAATGGAAGCGCTGGGAATAAAACAATCACTTCATGAATTTGCACAACGGTGCACCCAGGCACGGAGCCAAAGCTTATATATAAGACCTCAAGGCCGACATACTCTAGGTGTTTTAATATAGCAAATGTCATACTGCCAAACTTGTAGCTTTAAAGGATGCGATGCATCTGCTCAAGACATGAAGCGGTCACGCTACTTGGGCAGTGTTGCGCTTCACATCCTCGTAGTAATAAAAGAAAAATATCGTAATGATATTACCACTGATAAGGAATCATATTTTTTTTTCTGTGAGAGTACTCACCATTATTGAGTCTCACGCTGATTCCATTGAGGGTGCATCCTGGTGAGATAGGCGTCGTGGCCTCGATGGAAATATCCCGCGGAAACACGGCTGACGTGTGTCTTGTTTTCTTGACCAGAAATGAGCGAGGCATGATGTTGGTGATCGGCGGCTTTATGCTGTCCGGACAGTGTAGAGCCGTGGGAGGCAAGGGACAAGATGAAGAGAAGAGAATGTCTCTTCAAGATGTTTAACGGTTATGCCCAGCAGTATGTCTGAGCACCTACTCTCTTGTCCTTCGTCTTCACTCGTGTTCCACTGAGTGATACCCTGGCTGCTGCTGATGATGTCGTGCGATGTACAAGCAGTACCGATTGGATGTTGTGCCTAGCGCAGTACTGAGGCAGCTTTCTCCTACGTTGGTGATTGAAGCAGGTGTCTGCCGTGAATTCTTACCTATTCGAGTCCAATCTATCAACGGGCCTCGAGCTCCGCCAGAGAACCCGCGCGCAGTCAAATTAGCCACCGCTTCAGAAATAATGACAGCAGCGTTGCGGATCAGTAAATACTAAATATTAGGGACGGGGCGGTCGCGGTCTGTGCTGTGTGCTCTTGATGATGTGAACCGAGAGCTAGAGGACGATTGTACTTGTTACTCGCCTCCGTAATGTTACCATCTCACCAGTTGACTGACACTGAACGGCAAGTCCATTAGTGACTGCTGTGCTCGCAAAAAGCCCCAAACCTAACTTCTTGGTCAGCAGACGATCACTGCCGAAGCGGGGGAAACAGCACACAATTCAAAGCATCATATCATTCACCCACTCTGCCAGTTGACAGTCCAGTTTTGTGAACCAACAAATGGTGGGGGCTGGGTTTGATGGGCCTGCGCTCTCTGCCTCTCACTGAAAGTATGCGTGGTCGCACTATAGCGATACTTATATAGCACTTGAAGGTAACAATGACTGGGTTGGTGCGCCCGGCGCAAGACCGGCACGTGCCGTTAATAAGATGCCACTGGTACGGCACGCGCAGTCAATCGCCCCCGCCAATCACATCCTCACGACCCTCCCCATTGGCTCGTTTGAGGCAACCAGCAGAAGACATAGGCGGGGCTTAATTTCAGGGGATGACTTGAGAAAGAAGAGGGATGAAAAGACTAATGCGATTATTCGACTCCGTAGATTGATTGAGCCTCGCGACACACACAAGTGACAAAGTGTGAGGCACGGACCCTCATACGTCTGTGCACTATTTGGTGTCTGCTCTACAGCGGACTAAATTACACAGCCCATATAGCACAGGCCTACAGATGGCACAAAATAACCCATTAAATCTCACCGAAAGAGGAAAACCCACACAAGTGTTTTAATTTATGAATCGGGACAAGTCATGACCATCAGCGATGTCTCATATCTTTGATAATTACGATGATGAACCTAGGAATCATACATGAGTGAAGATTACATCGATGGCTTGAATCTTAAGGACTGACAGTCTCTTCTTTTGGCAAGCTGGGGCTGTACGCTTGCGGACCGCGGCGGGTCGTGAGTAGAAAAAGGCCTGACTAAAAACACCTGTCTCTATAAACAAATGCGTATTGGGGAATCGATCAGCTAACTGACAACCGCCCGGGTATGTTGCGCGTTGCTTGGAATCTCCCCCCTGTGCTTGCAATTTTCAAAATTTATTGATAATAGTTTGTTGATAATGATTTATGTGTTTATCTCGTATAGGGATTAAAATATAAATAAACCCCCATTTCTTTGTCCATATTTCTACCTTCAAAACTGTATTTTCATGGAACAGAGAAGGGTTCTCTCAAAAATAAGTGCTTTCACAAGGTGGTTTTTATGAGAAGAAATTGCTCAGTTAGATTGTAGCAAAAGATCAATACAATATGTAAAATCCAGTCTCTTGATTCGACAGTACAATAATGTAAACACTTTCTGTTTTTATTGAAAGGGCTCTATAACCCTCCCTCTCTCTCTAATCGACAAAAAGATGGTTGAAGTCTTATTGTAAGTTATGAACAAAACGGACATGCCATGAGTCTCTCTCGCATGATCATGATCAAATAAAACAGAACAGCGAATATTATTATCCAATAAACAGTGGATATCGATTAATATGCTGTAAATGCTACTTCGCTTGTCTTGTTTCAGTTTGTCGTAAAAGAACGAAAGCTGCTTGCTCATTTTGTCAATGCTGCACCAGAACTACACTGAATTACTTTACTGGGACGTGTTATTAAGTTACTGTGCAGAAAACTATAGTTGGCAAAGTTAATGGCATATAAAAAACTTATTCGACAAACCTATCTGGCGTGAAAAAGAGGGTTCGAATTCAGTAAACCACAATCGTGACATTGTTTTCGGTGGAATAAACAAAGACGGTACCAAAATAAATCGGAGCCATTTTAATTCCTGCTTGACCTGTCTGGCTATGGCATATAAATTCATGTTGGTTACAGCAATCAGTATACGTTGGTACCAATTAAAAAATGCTCGGAAACATGCCTTACATTAAAAATTTCATGCTTCTGTAACAGAAAATGGAGCTGCTCAGCATCAAAGAGTCCTCATTTGGGGGATTACTTCAAATGAAGTAAGAAACTGATGATCCCTCCCATTCAAGCCACGGCTTCTGTTCGCTGATTGGCCATCAACCACGTTCACCCACTTGGATCACAAGAGGGCGATCGGCATACTTTGCGCAACAGAGCAGCAGTCTCAATGAACAATGCATATCATTAACTACATTCATCGGTGTATTTCAAGAAAATCACAGTGAGGATGTATTTACATAGAATTAAGTTCCCTGGTTTATTTGCTTCAAATAAAAGCCGAGTAACAGTGACCATGTGACCTCCAACGCAGTTCCACACATTTTTGGATGAGGGAGTAACATGTCGATATCGATCAAAAGACCTATTTGCTGCAATATGTATCCTGGTGTCTTAAACGACACACACTCGTTTCCGACAAGCGACGCGATGACGTAAAAAGTTAATGAATAATTAACAGTGAGAAAAGCAACCAGTAGATTGGTGATCCATTTACGGTCATGTAGTTGGTGTCTTTCTCGCGCAATTTCAGCCCTAGTGCGCCGTTCAAAACGGCGCACTGACAAAAGGATTATTAAAAGGCGGTCTAATTATCTATAAATTTCCGAAATTTATCCTTCGGAAAAAAATCACTGTCATGTGCATCATTTACCACATTATGTGTGAGCTTCGATTCAGAATCTTCAAAATGTATTAACCAATCCTGATTTTATTTGTCAGCAATAAGCACCTTCGCTTCGCAAATTGGAAGAAATTTCCCAAATTTCATCCTATACGTCTTCTTTCAACTGGATGCAGTTTGGATTGTTACTGTACCTTTCTGATTGAGAAAGTAATAGGCAAACAGTAACAATGTTGGAATGTAATTTTAAAAAAACCGGCAAACCAATTCCCACTATATTAATTGTTTTGTTTCTGCCAGTCTATGGGCTGTCTACTTGAAATAAGCGTGTTATTTGTTTGATTTTCTGGCTCCTAAAATTATAATGAGTGTATGTTTAACCATAGGAAAACGACTATCGTTATGGTAGTTCTCCCAGCTTTCTTCATCTCAACAGACAGTATGCAATAATTAAATCTAAAGATTACAACTTGATTATCTCCGAAATGAGCTTTCCGATAAGCTTCGTACCGATCCCAATTTTCATAATCTAGACTCAACTGTACGCCCTAAAAGCTCTGTCCTGCCAACAGGTGTTCTCAACGCCGCCTTTTCCTAAGCTCAAAATATTACATTCAGCGCGCCGTTTCTACGGAAACGAACGTTTGGACGAGGACAAAAAAGCCTGAGCAAACATCATAAAAAATATCGAGTGCTTTCCATGCCCCCTGGAAAGATTTCAATTACCCTTCGGAACATTATTAATAACAACAGGAAAGAATACAGCACACCTTCATAATATACAGGGGCTGTTTATTGCATTGTTCTGTCGTCAGAACACACGCGGTTGATTGGAGCGTCATGTGTTCTATCACGCAAGCGATTTCCTTGTTTATTCAAAGCGTATGATTGTAGGCCTACATGTTTGATCTTTTGCTAGGAGAAGCGACATATAGGATCGGATATTCCTCGAGCTGTACAAAGATCTTACCTCGGAATTTGAAAGAAAAAAATCAATCAGAATCAACGTTTCCGATTTTAACACGACTAAAGTAGAAAGCCACATGTGACAATATGATATTGCAAATCTGTCGTTACCTGTTGCCAAGTACAGGGTTCTTTTTTCTTTATTCAATGATTGAAACTTTAATCTTTGGGTCTATAAAGGAGCTTTAAACGTCATGTTTTTTGCTACAGCGCCTACGCTGTGTGCATTTCTGGTTACGCCCATGCCAAAATTAGGTTTCAAATAGAAGTTACAGAAAAGGTGGACACCACAAACAAACGTTTTATCTGCAGTTTTTAATATGATCTTTTAAAACACGCATTTCTGTCAACGATAATTAACAATTTATTTGAAGGCACAATTACAACATACGTGTATTTACAACAGCTCTTGGAATAGGGTCTCACCTGTGGCACGAGGTATCGATTTACAGGTTAATGTTGTCGTGTGAAGAAGCAGCTCAGGTTAATATTACGATGAGTTTAATGCAAAGATTTAATCGTCTTTAATTTGAACACGATGACATTAAAAGTATCTATTTTTGTATTTCTCCAAGCACCGGTGATGTATAGTAAAACTCCCATAGGTATAATTAGTTTTATTGTGCTATGTCCGATTTGCAGTTAATGTTATTTGTGTAACATATGTCAACTTGCATTTCGTAACGGTTTAAATATGAGTATCGATTTCTACTGGGGTTACCTTCGAGAAAACCATAGTTCAAGATGGTGCTGTAACTGCTTGTCAGGTGGAATAACGACCTTGAATGCATATGCTGTTTATCAAGTAAATTCCGCAGGAGTAAGCTGTTAGATTTTCCCTTCCTAGGCCTACGTGCTATTAGAATGACCGATCCGTCGTATGAAATCTGTAATGTAACCAAAACTTGTTTGGGATAGGTTGGCAAAACTGGCAAAGCTAGTAATCTCTGTAGAATTTAATAGAATTAGAGTTTAACGAGCGATTGTTTAAAGAAATAATCTACTAGCAGAAACGGGTGAGACATGGTGAGGGGGGGGCGCTTAGCAGTTGGATTGCGGCCAATCCATATACTTGTCACTCCAGGTGTGTCGTTGGCGAGAAAAGCACAGCGCCCCCAGTCGGTCACACTCACACAAGTAGATCTTACAGTCCATACTGATACGATCCAAGAAGTGATATTCATCTTCAGTCTCTGTTGAGTTGAGGACAAAGAGGGTGATCTATAAATTATGCCCCTGAGCAATGATCTGAAGAGTATAGGATTCTGACATTTTCAAGCACTGAAATTACCTGTGTTCTTTCTTTTAGGAGAAAGCTCATTTTGAGCACGGTTTTAGAGGTCTCTAAATTTTTCACTGCTCAACCAGCTGTGAACTGGAAACGGCTCTGCTTGCAGATCAAGGACGGTTAGATATAATGAGATAGTTCCCAAATGTCATCCATTTTCCATCCATGACGTCAGTCACGACAAGAGTGTTTAACTGTGTTTCATTATTCTCCCGAAATGTTGCTACGGCTTCAGGAGACAAAACTAGCCCCTGGAACTGTTGTCATACAAAGAAGTGCAATAATCGAAGTATGCATTAAGTCCAGAAAGAAGAAATGAAGCCAGTACTAATTGCATCTCAACTGACATGAATCAGGGTCGTCCTTGAACTTCCTTATACCCTCAAACTAGTAATTAACCAAGTATTTGTCGAGAAGAAAACAACCATTATCATTCGCCGCGTCGTAGCAT